ACGGTTTCATTGTTATTGCATTTAACTTCTCAGAGTAACTCTCTAGGTTAAAAACTATCTGTGTTTTTTTCAGATGAAGAAACTAAGACCAGAGATGAAACTTGTCAAGGTCACTCAGCAAGAGAAAGAGCTATGACCTTGAGTGTGTAGGCAGTGAGAAATATATAAGCTTTTTCTCCACATGAAGCACATATATCTTGGGTGGTGCCTATGACTTAGTGGGCAGCGTGTCGGCCCTATATGCCAAGGGTGGTGGGTTCGAACCCAGCCCGGCCAAACTGCAATTAAAAAAAAATAGCTGGGTGTTGTGGCGGGCACGTGTAGTCCCAGCTACTTGGGAGGCTGAGGCAAGAGAATCACCTAAGCCCAGGAGTTGGAGGTTGCTGTGAGCTGTGATGCTACAGTACTCTACTGAGGGCAATAAATTGAGATTGTCTCTAAAAAAAAAAAAAGTACATATATCTTGTATTGATTTTTGTATGCTTTAGTAACATCTCTTTTTAGTTAACAGTGTCTTAGAACTATCTCCATGCTAGTCCAAATAGAAGAGCGTCAATATTGCATAGTATTTAAATTCATTGATATTAAGTGCCAATTTTTTTTTTTTTTGAGACAGTCTCCCTCCATTGCCCTGGGTAGGGTGCCATGATGTCATCACAGCTCATAGCAATCTCAAACTTTTGGGCTCAAGCAATCCTCCTTCCTCAGCCTCCCAAGTAGCTGGAACTATAGGCATCTGCCACTACACCCAGCTAGTTTTTCTATTTTTTTTATTAAATCATAGCTATGTACATTAATGTAATCATAGGATACAATGTGTTGGTTTTACATACACTTTGAAATATTTTCATCAAACTGGTTAACATAGCCTTCATGGCATTGTCTTAGTTATTGTGTACATATATCTTAGTTATTGTGTTTAGACGTTTATATTCTACACTTAGTAAATTTCACATGTACCCTTGTAAGATGCACTGTAGGTGTGGTCCCACCAATTACTCTCTCCACCTATTCTCTCCCCGCCTCTCCCCTCCATCTCCCCTTTCCCTTTCTTCTTGGGCTATAATTGGGTGATAGCTTATAAAAAAGCTATAAGTTAGTTTCATTGTAGGACTGAGTACATTGGATACTTTTCCTTCCATTCTTGAGATACTTTGCTAAGAAGAATATTTTCCAGCTCCATCCATGTAAACATGTAAGAGGTAAAGTCTCCATCTTTCTTTAAGGCTGTGTAATATTCCATGGTGTACATATACCACAATTTATGAATCCAATTGTGGGTCGATGGGCACTTGGGCCTCTTCCATGACCTAGCAATTATGAATTGGGCTGCAATAAACATTCTGGTACAAATATCTTTGTTATAATGTGATTTTTGTTCTTCTGGATATATATCTAGTAGAGGAATTGTAGGATTGAATGGCAGGTCTATTTTTAGATCTCTAAGTGTTCTCCAAACATCTTTCCAAAAGGAACATATTAGTTTACATTCCCAGCAGCAGTGCAGAAGTGTTCCCTTTTGTTCACATCCACGCCAACATCTCTGGTTTTGGGATTTTGTGATATGGGTTAATCTTACTGGAATTAGGGGATATCTCAAAGTAGTTTTGATTTGAATTTCTGTGATGATTAAGGATCGTGAGCATTTTTTCATATGTCTGTAGGCCATGCACCTGTCTTCTTCAGAGAAGTTTCTCTTCAAGTCCCTTGCCCACCCTGAGATGGGATCACTTGTTCTTTTCTTGCTAATATGTTTGAGTTCTCTGTGGATTCTGGTTATTAAACCTTTGTCAGAGACATAACCAGCAAATATCTTCTCCCATTTTGAAGGCTGTCTGCTTGCTTTACTTACTGTGTTCATGGGTGTGCAGAAGCTTTTTAGTTTCATCAGGTCCCAATAGTGTATTTTTGATGTTTCTTTAATTGCCCAGGGGGTCCTCCTCATAAAATATTCGCCCAGGCCAATTTCCTCAAGAGTTTTCCCTTCACTTTCTTCTAATATTTTTATAGTTTCATGTCTTAAGTTTAAATCTTTAGTCCAGTGAGAGTCTATCTTAGTTAGTGGTAAAAGGTGTGGATCCAGTTTCAGTCTTCTTTAGGTCTCCAGCCAGTTCACCCAGCACCATTTGTTAAATAGGGAATCTTTTCCCCACTCAATGTTTTTAATCGGCTTATCAAAGATCAAATAACCATCAGTAGCTGGGTTCATCTCTTGGATCTCTATTCTGTTCCATACATCTACCTCTCTGTTTAATATAGACAGGGTCTTGCTCTTGCTCAAACTCCTGAACTCAACCAATCCACCTACGTTGGCCTTCCAGAGTGCTAGGAGTACAGTCATGAGCCACTGCACCTGGCATGCTTGAAGTACTTTTATTTGTATTTCTCCTCCCTGCTGTATAAGGTATCTTAACTGATATAGTTATTGAAGGAGTAAGATCATGCAGGACTTTATAGATGATGTTAAAATTTTGGAATTTATCCTAAGGATTATGGAGAGCCACTAAAGGGTTTTGTGCCCTAGGATTACACAAGATGTTTGCTTTTCAAAAGATTACTTGGATTGCAAAGTAGATAATAGATTAGAGAGTGGCAATAGTGGATGCAGGTAGAGTAGTAAGGAACTATTGTGGTAGGTCATCCAAAAGAAAGCAATGATTTAAAATAAGTGGTGGCCATTGGAATAGGTAATAAAAGAACTGATTCAAGAGCTACTGAGAAGTATATGGAGACAGATTTGTGATTGTGATTCATTCAATGTGAATGAGGAAGAGGAAGAAATCAAAGATGACTTCCAGGTGTCCAGATGGAGCTATGAAGTGGATTATTGTGCCTTTTGCTAACAGTGTAATAAACTGCTGAAGGAGGAAAGGTGGGTGGCCATTATAATGAGTTCATTATTGGACACTCTGGGATGAGGAGATGTCTCCGTCAGATGGTCATGTCAAGTAAACAGGCATTTGAATGGCTTAGGGTGGAGAAAAAACTTGAAAGTCTTTGCAACCTAGATGGTGACAAAATCTATGTGATTTTTGAGATTCGTAGGGAGTGAGAAAGGCGAGGGTCAGTACTTAGATTGAAAGTACAACCTTGCAAGAGGCGAGGCTCCCCACAGGTGCAGGAGAGCCCCAGTAACATCCGCAGTGGCTGTTTACTGAGTGGATACATAACAGGTGTGGGGAGTGCCCAGCAATCACATACCAGGGCTACGGGCTTATCACTACACACTCTTTTCCCACTGGCTTGACTCTCACCCTGATGCACCACAAATGTTCAAGGTCCAACACCTGCTTACTAATGAACACCGGTCTTATCTCATTAGATCACTAAGTAGCTCGAGGGCTTGTCCCCAGGATGCAAAACATCTCTAGTCCAGCCAGGAGACTGTCCGGCTCTCAGCGATTCCCTCAAGAACCAGTGACTGTTCCTATAAGCATGGTGCTCCGTCTCCTACAGGGGAGAGAAGGGAAAAGGTGCTAAGACAGAATCCCAGGATTTTGTAGTTGATTATGGGGGAGAAGGAGATATCCACAAAGGAGACTGTGAAAAAACAGCCAGAAAGAGAAATGGAAATCCAAAGAGTGTTTGCAGAGGGAGGGAGTGACAGACACTGACAAATATAGTTGGGAAATCAAGGAAGAAAAGGAATGCAAAGAATCTAGTGTAATTAGCCACACGAAGATCACCAGTGACACTGATGATGAAGCAGCTTTTGGACAGATGGAAGTGGAATGTTCAGTTCAGAACCCGGCCTGACCCAGATAAGGGGTGGATAATTAATAAATGGAGACACAAAAGGTATAGAACGAGAACAAGAGATTTGGCAGGATATAGGGCAGGAGCTGAGGCACAAGATGGAGGGTTTTTTGTTTTCCTTATAAAAATATGAATGACTATCTTTCCATCTTTCACCTTCCCAGCACCCTTAAGATCCTGCCCCCCACACTTCTTTCAGTTCTTTGGTCCTACCTCACTCACTGCTCACAGCTTTTCCTTAAGTCTGTGAATGGCTGACTTCTTCATTATTTATGGTTCTGCTCAATTGTCACTTTATACGAAAAGTCTTCTCTGACCTTATCCAGTTCCGTGACCTCACTCCCTGTTTTACCTTCTTCGTGGTTCTTATCATCTGAAATGATCTCGTTCATTTATTTATTTGCTGATTATAGTATATTCTAATTAGAGGCTGGGGGAAACCGGGTGAAGTTTAGCAGACGTCAGAATATATGTGTATTTTATGCTTTATTATATTCCATGTATTTCATTTAAATGTAGTATGTATTTGTGTGTGTATATATTGTATGTGTGTATTACGTATTATTTCTTAAACCTCCATGTGAATCTCTAATTATCTCAAAATAAAGTTCTTTTTTAAAAAAAGAACAGTAAGTTCTTTGAGAACTGGGATTTTTGTTCTCTTGTTAAGAACTGTGTCCTGTTCACCAGAACAAAGTCTGGCATGCAGTGAGTGCTAAATAAGTGTTCAATAAATGCATGAGTTAATGAATGATATACTTGGCCATGTTTTGAGGGCGGAGTGGGGACAGCATTGACAGCAGAAGATATCCTAAATCGCCAGGGAAATGGGATTTAGAATGAAAATCCCTGTCCTAGAGGAAGGACTCGAATCCAAATCTCTGTAAGTCTTTCTACTACCCCATTCTACCTAGCCATTAATTAATTAGAAGACCTAAGTAGTGATTAACACTGTCTTAGTAGACGCTCAGTCAGTCATAAGGCATCTTTATAGCTTATGTTTGCAACTGATTGGGCCGTCACCTCCTAACAAGTGGGTGTTCTCAGATTTCTATTAAGCACGACAAGACCAGCACTTTCCTAACTTTTGACGGTAAGGAAGAAGGCTGTGTGCGATAGCTTGGACGGTTCACTGCCGCCCAAGTCCTCTCCCCTGCAGTTGAGGTTTCGGGTTTCAATCCTCTCGGGACCGCGAGACGTTGCAGCGAGCACCGTGCGGCTGGCGCCTCCGCCTCCGCGCCTCCACCGCGGCTGCTTGCAAAAGATAATTTCAGACCTGCGGCCGCGCACTTGCCCTGCGCCAGAACGAGGTTGGGCGCAGCGGCGGAGGCTGCTTCTGGGCTGGCTGGCTGCGTGCGTTGGGAGGCGGCGATCACAGCTGGGCTGGGACTTCCTTCCTCCACCGCAGGACAACAAAACGAGCTGGCAGCAGGCACTGAGCTATTGGCAGCTGTTTGGGCGAGGGGTACCGCGATGGGCTCCGTGCTGAGCAGCGATAGTGGCAAATCGGCGCCCGCCTCTGCCACCCCGCGGGCCCTGGAGCGCAGGAGGGACCCAGAGCTGCCTGTCACGTCTTTCGACTGCTCAGTGTGTCTGGAGGTGTTGCACCAGCCAGTCCGGACCCGCTGTGGCCACGTGTAAGTGCCGGGGGAGCTCAGTTTGCGTGCCCACTACTTGGAGAGGGTGAGGTTTGGGGAAGCCTATGGCTTGGGGGCCGGGGTGTGTACAGAAGCCAGCGCCTTAGGAAACTGCTGCAGGGACAAACCCTAATCTGTGCTGGCGGTGGGGAAAATGCCAGTCAGAAAGTGACACAGGATTTTAGAAGAAAAAAACAAACAAGCGGGCCTGGCATCCCGCTAATGCTCCTCCTCGCGAAGCCCAGGTGCGGAGCTTAAGGGTTGCAGATCCAGGCACAGGTCCCGCCCAGAGCCACAGCTTGCCAGCTAGGGAAGGTACTCTTGGCTGGAGAACCAGTACCCTCCCTAGCACAGAAAGGAAACGAGCAACCGGCTGCAAAGTAGTGGGCTCCAGCTAAGCCCTGTTATCCGGCTGCACTCGGTTGATCGCGCTGTGCTTCCCTCTGCCCCGGAAACCCGGGTTGGTTTTGTTTTGCTGGGGTTGTGCACGTGTCCCAGAACGCCCACAGAGGCTCCTCTCCTGAACAGAGTGATCTGTGCTAACAGTCTTTCCACCCCCCTACCCCAGAGACCCCTTCCCAACACAGATACCCAGACCCCTCAAAGATCAAGTCAAACCAGGGTGTTAGAGCGACTTTCCGGAGTAGTGGAATTTAACCACTTGTTAGAGTTTCACAACCCAGGGTGGAGCCTGGGGCTTCAACGTTAGCCCTAAACCAGTGAATGGGGCCCTTTAAAACCCAGCTACGAAGTGACAGAAGGTTGCCCACTGCCTGCTTTACGCCCCGCCTCCCCAAACCCGTAGAAGGAATAGATTAAACTAACTTAAAAACGCACTATTTAACTAAAATCCTCTGATAGTGTGCAAAGTCGTGTTAGTTTCCAAGAGGATTTTAATAACAGTCCCCATATGAAATGAGCACGTCCTCAATGTGTGCTTGGTAACTGATAGCGGAAGTTGGATCTGTGAATTTGTCTCCTCCCTTTTCCTAGCCTCCCCCCCAGGTGTGTGTGTGAGTGTGTGTGTGTGTGTGTGTGCTCGCGCGCGCGCGCGCGCCTGGGTGTCTGCGGGTCCACGCAGAGCTCAGGAGGAGCAGAAGCCCTCTTGTCTTCTGTGGACAGTAGATTAACTGCAGCACAGTGAAGTACCAGAGCAATACTGAGTGGCTTTATGGGTTTAGGGGCTTACCAGGAAAAAAGAAATCCCTCACCGTAAGGACAAGTGCGCAAAATGTTTTTTAAAAGGATTTAGATGGTCCTTAACACCTACAGCCTAGTATCTAAAAAGCTCTTTCCACCTCTGCTCATCCTGGAGCCTAAGTGAAAAACGGGCAACCCACACAATGTTTAGCCAGTGCTCTAAGGCATTGTTTTCTGGCTGTATTTTCAGGGCCTGTTTCTTCAGCTTTGTACTTTCAACTCACAGCTTAAATTTACCCACTCATCTGATTACTGATGTTGCTTCTCAGCTGTCCAGTTGTAGCTCATTGACATAATGTCCAAAGGCAGATCTGAAAACCAAGATACTCTTGTGTAACATTACAAAATCTATACTTCGGTTCAAGGAAATAATAACCTAAGAGTAGCTACATTTAAATTTGATCTTTACTAGCATGAGAACTTAAAAGTGTGTCAAAGTTGAACAGGGGGAGTATCCTGAAGACTTTTTTTTGTAGAACTGGAATGGACAGTTTTGCTATTTAATTCTCTGACTGGAGATTGTTTTCCTGGTTTGGATTTTGAACACTACAACTTATTGTTTACAATGTCTTTGCTTCTTCTAAAGGATAATAGACATTTGCGAAATGTTAAAATTTTTGTTTAATCTTTTTCTTTGTTAAAGTGAATAGGAAACTGGCCACTGGAAAAATAGTCATAAAATAGCATAACAAGGGCTGGACAAATTGCCTTCCCTCCTTTTACTGTTCTTTGTTTTGAAAAGTCTATGTCTATTGTTCTGGCTGTGGGCAGAATTTCCATATTCCTCCTTTGGCAAATGTACTTGGGCCCTTCCATTTTATGTTAACCAGAGTCCCTTATGCGCTGAAGATTGTGAGTGTTGCTAACACCATTTGTACATTCTAAATGAACTGCTCTTTTCCATTGAAATGAAGTTGGAAAATGCAGAAATGCAAATGAAATTTCTCTATTTTAGTATCCCATATTGAAACAAGATCTCCAGACTTGTTGAATTAGGTTGTTTTATGCTGATTTAGGTTTGTAAACCTATTTCAAGTCAAGCAAGTTTAATCATGACAACAATACCTTGAGTGAATATGTAGAGCGCTTTATAAATTGTATTGCGATGTCCCAGGAGCTGTGGGCCTTATACAGAGAGCTGAATTTGAAATTCAATTCTGCCACTAGCCAGCTGTGTGACTTTAGGGAAATTTGAATTTTTCCCCTGGAGGGTTCTATAATTTGATTCTGTAAAATAAACCGATAACAGGGGAGAAAGGCATACAAATATATTAAGGTGTATATGGGGATGGGAGTCATACAAAATAGGAAAACTCAAAGCAAGGACTAGATTGTTGAGGCTTTGCTGTTTTGAGGTTGCAGAAAAAACTGGGCCTTAGAACATAGCAGGACAAGATTTGGGAGGGAGAGAGAAAGAAAGGCATGGGGCGGAGATAGTCTTGTTATACCTGTGAAACCTCTCTGATACCAGAAATAGCAGGTAGTAACCCTGCTGTGGTTAAGTTTCTCTGTCAGACCTCCAAAAGCTGTCAAACTTACAGTTAAGCCCCTCCCCCTCAACTGCTCAGTCCACACCAGTGGGGCCTCAGAGAAAGTCTGGTAGCTTATTTCACCAGTATGGATCACCAATGTAGATTTTCTCTACGCGTGCAAATCTTCTCCACAAAAGGCAGCTTTTCAGGGTTATTCCTGTCTCCAAGAATATCAAAGAAACATGTCAAAGTAGTATATTTTTTACATTTATAGATTTATATTTATATAATAATAATAATTTAATTTCTAATGTATTTATATTTATAATTTGTAATAATTATAATTTATAATATAAATACTAATACATTTATACAATGTATGTTTTATATTTGCCTATTTATATTTAAAAACATATTTTTATTTCCATTAGTCCCCTATTTGAAACTTTATTTTTAGGAAGTTTCACATATTAAAGTAGGATTGGTAGCTATGGAGAGATTTTGTTAGAAATTTCAAAGTAAAAAATAGGGAAGGGGGGGTGGTGCCTGTGGTTCAAAGGAGTAGGGCACCAGCCCCATATAATGGAGGTGGTGAGTTCAAATCCGGCCCCGGCCAAAAACTGCAAAAAATAAAAGATAAGGGGAAAGAAAACATAGAACGGAATAAGCAGGCAAATAACCAAATTTGAGTATGTTATTTCGTATCTTTTTTAATCTGTGTCTTAGTCCTGAGGATAGGTCAGTTAAACAGTTGTGTCCCATTCTGAGAGATGACATTGTAGATGGGCTGTCAAAGCTGGGCCTCTGTATGTGATACAGAACAGATAGTTGATGCATTTCTGTGGAAACAGAAGGAAAAAAAGGTTAATGTTTGGAGAAGTTTACGAAGTAGTTTTTCTAAAGCATCTTCAGTTGGAACAGGCAGGCAATGGCAGTTTGACGGGGTTTCCTGAATTGCAGTTTGAATCAGGTGCTTCAGCGAACTTTCTGAGTAGTCAGAAATGAACGCTGTTTATGTATAAGTTGCTGTAGAGGTTTCTTTAGAAGCTTATTTTTTTAACTTTTAAAAAATATTTAAATTTTAGACTATTGGGGGTACACATGTTTTGTTTGTATGCTTTGTTTTTGTACAGATTGAATGGAAGTTATTAAGTGTGCCGTTCACCCAGAGAGTGTGCACTGTACCCAATAGGTGTGAATTTACCCATTCTCCTCCTCCACTCTTCCCCCAGCTTGATTTTCATTGAGATTTTCTTCCATAACTTAGTTACAATTTGTTATTGAATACATGTGTTTGCTTCTCAGTTTTTGTGATGTTTTACTTCCTAAGATGGTTTGCAGCTCCATCTTTTTGTCACAAAAGATACTCGTTAGAAATTATGTCAAGTTGTCTAGCCTCCGTTTGGAGGGCCTTAAGAAAAGCACAGTTTTAATTTGTAATGATTTTAAGTCAGATGGGTTGGAAGACAACTGTAAACATTAGTCTGGAGAGTCACAGCCAGATATTGGAAGGAACTGAAAATTCAGGATTTGGTACAAATAATATAACATTCAAAAATAATAGGGCTAGAATCTAAAAACAGTTTTTATTTTCTTTTTGAAACATAAATTTTCTTTCAATTGGGCACAACCTTTAAATAGCCTCTACACTAAACTATTTTTTCTCTAACCAAAATCACATCTTCATGCCTTTCTTAAAATTTTTCTCACAAAAAAAAAAAAAAAAACTTTGCTTTTTTTGGGTACACCACTTGCTTCCAGAATTGTTTCCTTATTTCTTTTTTTATTACATTTTTAGTTATTAT